CAAATTGACAATTTTTTCAAAAGCTATTTTTTTACATAAATTGATTTAGAATAAGATTAGGATCATTTCTTATTTAATACACAAAAGTAGTTGTATTAATAAAATTTTGCTATATTGCTCTTTAAAGTTTGCATTTTCTTATAATTTATTATAAGATCTACAATATAAAAATTGATTTTCCAAAGATCGTTTGTTTGTTAATTTGGTCCCTTTTTTTAGCACCTAGCTCATAATCATATTTTATAAAAATTATAATTATATAATTATATAAAGATATTATTATAATAAAATTTATTCTAAAAAAAATTATAAATACCATCAAGAGAAAACTCCACTATTAAAAATGATCCAAATCCCTTTTTGTTTTAAAGAAGTTAGCATGATAATAACTAGAGATGGGTTTGGTTAGGCAATAGCTGGCTAGCTGACTAGCTATAGTCGTAATCAATGATAGTCGACTAGATCAGCTTAGCTAACCAGCTAGCCTATACTAAATTTTTTATTTCATGACTAATAAATCATAATTATTGTTTTAATTCAGCATAAAGTACTCAAATTATATAATTATTGCAAGAAATACTCTAGTTGTTTTCATAGCAGATTCTCAATTTTGATTGGCTAAGAGCAATGATAAAAAATTTAGGCTGAAATTGCTTAAAATTTTACTACTGAGATCATATCTGCCTATTATGGTGCTTTTCAATAAAGTGTAATATCATAATTGCATGATGATGATAAAAAAGGAATCTTCAAGATTCTAATAGTGAATTGGATTTTAAGAATCTATATGAAATTATATAGAATTATATACATTTTTTATATACAATTATTTTTTTAATTATGTTTGATCAGTGATTGATATAAAAAATAATTATTACATATTTATGATTTAATCAGTATAAAGCTATTTAATTTTATTTTTTTTATATACGTAATACATTTCTCTTAATAAATAACTAAAATGGCCGATGTTCAAGAAACCAAATTAAAGTACTATTGAGAAGCTTGTTTTAGCTGCCGGATATGCATGTTTTGTGGAATTAATTTACAACAAGAAAAATGTAATTGCGACTTGTCTAATGTGTCAGATAGAAGTAACCGAACAAATACTGTAAAATATGCATTTACAAGAATCTTCAATCTGAATTGGATTAAAGAAAAAGTAGACTTTGTCCAGCGAAAAATAGAATATTATAATTATTCATTAAGTTTAGAAGAGTATTTTAATCTTACTTTGTGTGCTCACTGCAATAGTAATTTGTTAAGATTATCCTCAAAAGCAAAAAAAAAACAAGTACAAAGTACTATAACTGATTCAGAAGTGAATATATATAATTTTACTATTCCAACTAGCAATACTTTTGATCCAGAAGAAAAATATTGGAAATCTAATGAAAAGGTTCTAGTGAGAAGAACTATGATGATGATAAATTTCTATCTGATGATGAAATTGAAATTGAATATACTTATGGGGTTTTTATTAAATTGGAGAATGAAATGTCTCTTCTGGCAAAAATAGTATACAACTAAAGTATCCACAATTACTTTTAGAAATTCATTTAAATATAGAAACTTTAACAGGCAAATCACTAATTGAACCAAATAATTATTATGTCGCATTCAAATCAGAAAAGGCAGCAGGAGCGGGTACTCAACTTGTTGATACTCAAGACTTTAAAAAATTTCAATCTGATTACCAAAAATATAAATCTAAAAGAATCAATATAGCCTTTTTTATAACATTTAACCCAAATCTAAAATGAAAATTAAATATAAGTATATTGATATCGATATGGTAATAAAATTTTATAATTTTATTAATTATTTATAAATAATATTTATAACATTATATTAGGTTCTTGAATCCAATAATAGTTCAGATGATGAAATTATTAAACATTCAAGAAATAAAAACTCTATTCCTAAAACTTCAAGCTTATCATCAGCTGAATTGTCAATTGCAAGAAATGTCTTAGAGATTTGTAAGAAAATTATTGTGCAATTTATAATCGACCATGTTTAAATAAGGATGGAGCTAAGAAAAATCATATCGAAATTACATTTATGATGTTGTCAATTTGGGCAACAGAAATGGTACATATATAATAGTAAATTTATTTATTATTATTTTTTTTTTTGGTATTAAGGTGAGGCCTTGCTCATATCTTTATTAGGTAATTTATATAAGTAATTACATAGAAACTATATAAAAACTAAATTTGTATAATAACAAGTATTTATAAATTACATGCAAGAATGGGAGCTCAGACTAAAAGCTTAAGCTAATTATCTGCGACCTAAACCTACTAGAGTGGTCAAGACTTATTTAGGTTTTTATAATAGTAAATTTATAATCTATATACGTATAGTAATTTATTTATATATTAATATATTAATATTTTTAAACATATTAAATATATAGAATAAAGCAATGGCATTATCTACAAAACCACCTATATATCCTTTATTTATTCATAAACATTCATCAAAAACAAAAAATCAAACACTATCACCAATTACAATACAACAATCTAATTCAATTCAACAATCAAATTCAATTCAACAATCTAATATAATGCAAGCTAATTCAATCCAACAGCCTAATTCAATTCAACAATTGAATTCAATTCAACAATCTAATATAATGCAATCTAATTTAATCCAACAGCCTAATTCGATACAATATTCTAATCTAATACAACAATTTAATCTATTACAAAATTCTAATTTAATGCAATATTCTAATTTAATATCACAACCTAATTTAATACAGCATTCTAATTTGATGGAACAACCTAATTTTATTCAGCAAGCAATCTTTTCAGGCCAACATTATATGCCATCTCTAATTTACAATTTATTTTCAACATATATTCCTTTACAATCTTACAGGGCACCTTTTCAAATTCCTATTTTATCTTCACAACAAACTGCTAAAATGATATTATCTACGATTAAAGATTTCTTAAAGCATATAGATGAAAATGAAGATACTAAAGACTATTATCTGAAATTTTTATTAGAATTTGATTGACAAAAAATTTCTGTATGACTACTTTCAAAGTTATCAGATAAACATTTTGAAAAATGTGGAGTAGATACAATTGGTGCACGTCAAACCCTTTGTGAATATGCTATTAAATATGATATGTATTTTATATCAAACAATAAATTATAAGCTTAATTTATTTATAACCTGCTGCATTAAAAAAATTGCTAGAAATTAAAGAGGTAATTTGAGAACATGCAACTAATAATAGGTATTCAGGGTCTGAACAACATTCTACAAAATACTGATTTTTTCTTAAATAATTTTTTATACATGAAAAGGCTATTTAAGTCAGATGAATATGGTGGAAGGAATTCAATTCACACACCAAATGCATTTAAATATTCAATCAATTCTTCATTATGATGTATACTTGTATTATCAAGTATTAATACGCTTCTTGCATGTGGAAATGTATTCATTTGAGGTAGCTTAAAATAAATTAAATTTAATATATATATATATAGTATATAGTATAATAATCATATTTCATACTACTTGAGAAATCACAAATTCTTTAAAAATTTTCTTGGTACAACTACCTTCCATAATTTTAATTGCAATAATGCCATCCAATGAAAGTGCTGGTAAAAGTGTATAGTGTTTGCCACGAAGAAATACTGCTTTTTTAATAGCTCTTGTATTCATTAAAGAATAACCATACCCTCGAGAAATAGTTCGTTCATCTTTCAATGATTCATCTAAAAAAACTAATTGATTACTTTTATATTGTGAACCAATTTGGGCCATAAAGGCACTTCGAAGCAATTCATTACGTTCCTTTGCAGCTTTATGCAACTAAAAATTTTTTAAAAATATATTATTTATAGAATTAATTTACATCACTATAAATAAATTAAATACTTTTTTCCATGTTATTCCACAATAAGCTAATGAACGCCACATAGTAGAAATTGAAACAGTTTTGCCACACTGAATTTCCATTTGTGAAATTATTTCTTCCAAATATAGATCCGGGTTTTCTTGTATAATATTTCGTAACACCTGTAATATAAATTATAAATTATATAGAATTTTAA